GATTCCGCATAACTTTTTGAGATCTTGCAAGCCGAAGACTGCCAAAGGTTGTTTGGTCTCGCCTTCGTACCAAAAAATGTCGTTTGCTACCCCGAACGAGCTTTTTTCCGATTTCGTCAAACTTTGGACAACCGTAACTTTGTGCTCCAAATCCAAACGGTATGATTTTTTTTTATTTCGCATAACTTTTTAAGGACTACAATTTTTACTAGGAATGAATTTTCAAAACAGGAATTATTTTTGGATATACTGGATTTTGGGAATAGCTTATCTTCCCTTCTCAGCAATCCACGTACATTTTGAAATTATGTCTATGATAAAAGTTGTATTCCTTAAAAATTTATGCGAAATAAAAAAAAATTTCATGCCGTTTGGATTTTGGAGCACAAAGTTATGGTTGTCCAAAGTTTGACGAAATCGGAAAAAAGTTCGTTCGGGGTAGCAAATGACATTATTTGGGACGAAGGCGGGACCAATCCACCTTTGGCAGTCTTCGACTTGGAAGATCTAAAAAAGTTATGCAGAATCCAAAAAAAAAATCGCGACGATCGGATACCCGAACATAGAGACACGTTCGTTTGAAGTTTCCACCTAGGTTAGGATTTTTCAAAAAAAAAAAAAAAAGGCAGAACGCACCCTGGGGGTGCGGTCTGCAACCAAACCGCGCCCTGGGGGTGCGGTCTACAAAACCGCCCCCTACCAGTGCGGTTTTCATCGAAAAACGCGCCCCCGGGTGGCGTTTTCATCGAAAAACACACCTCCAGGTGGCGGTTTTACAAAAAGGGTGCTATTTTTGGAATTTTTCGGAGTTGGATGCTATTTTTGGAATTTTTTTTTAAACAGTGCTATTTATGAAAAAATCTCCAGATTAGGAGTCACCTTTAAGAACAGCACAATCGGAGAGTAGTCTCCCTCTCCGACTCCCTAACCTAAAACACATTTGTGCAAAGCTGCTGCTAAACGGATAGTCCAAGCAGGGTGCAAGTGTTCATATGCTTCAGCTGATGCTCTTTCTCGCATTTTGTCTTCCTCCTCCTCCTTCCTCCGGGGAAGTCGGGGAAAAAATCGCCCAGGATCCCTTCTCCGTTCCTCCCAATCCCAAAAACCCTAAAAATGGTTGTCGCAGTACGGTCTCCGATTCGACGGCACCCTCGACGAGAAGCGGGCCTACTCGGTGATGTACTCGAACCACCAATATTGTGGTGAGCAAACGACGACACTCGTCATTACGGCCTATAGCCGGTTACACCGATCTTTTCTGGATTGGTTAAGCTTCCTTTTCCAGAAGATGTACTCCTTCTCTTGCGGAGTTGTTCGTTTCAAGCTATGTGGTTTGTAAACATCATATCTGTGTTCTTTGAAGGAACTCAGTTAATTGAGGATATCTATTCCTCTGATTTTTATTATTCAAATCCCCTGCTGTGCTTTTGGGAGTTTCAATTTTCATTCCACGGCACCCAACGACCGATTATAAAATCGACACCGACGACGATAAATTGGGCGGATAGCCCAAATTATTTTTGGAATTCCTCAGTTGTTTCCTGGACTCCCTACCGGCAGCGATTGAAATCCAAAGCAAACTCTGACTCCATGACTCGTTTGGGTTAGTTAGCTTGCTAGATGAATGAATCGCGGCCAAAACGGCGACCTCGCCGGAAAATTTTCATCGCTCGTCGGAGAACCCCAATCCAATGAGAGTTTCTGGACATTTAATTATCCGAAACGTCAATTACGGGATAAAGGACCCTAAACGTTTCGTGGTATAATTAATTGACCATTAAGTCTACTTAATAGATTTGATGTCCTACACTTTAATTCATTTAAATTTGAGTTACAACGGCAGAAGGAAGTGAAGTCATGCTCACTGGATTTTGGTCGGTTATTGAAGGTTGGCAGCGCTAATTAATTACAGAAAAATGTAATTATTGCTGTAATACTGCTGTTTGCTTGGTTATTACAAATTGCAGTTTCGGTAATAAGGATGGGGAATTAAGCAAAATATATAAAAAAAAAAAAATCCTCCTTACCGTAAAGTTACTTTAAGGTTTGGTGCCGATTATAGCTTTTTGGAGTTTTAGCTTTCTGCCACCCCACCGGTTCATAATTCATTTATTATTGTCATTATGGTGTGTTTTGATTGAGATAATAATAATTATTGTTACGGTTATGGGATCTCTGATATATATAAGCCGAGTTTTCTTTCCTTCTTAAATCATTTTTTCTTCCGTTTAAGTTGATAAGTATTACTATGATATTTATCATGGAGGTTACGGAAATTAATGGTTTTAATATAATAATTAATTAATCCCCTAAAGCAATTAAACTGGTACAAGCCTTCCGTTGCTCTACAACTCTGGAATATGGTGGGTTTAAGCTGTTTAATTAGTTCCGCCCCAACTGATAACTTTGGTATTTGGTGGCGACATGTTATGAACTCGGAAAACTTCCAAATCCACTATCTCCCATGTATTTGCCTTCTTTGGAGAATTTGGAAATCTAGAAATAAAGTGGTATTTGAATTCACTCAACCACTAGCCACTTCGCTTGCCCGTCAGCTCTTCTTTCAAGTCCAAGAATTTTCCTCTCTCCCCCCCCAGCCTCGGGGTTGGATCACATCCTTAAGCCCAAAACTTAAGGAGTTCCTTAAGGTTTTGCTGGCCAATAAGAAGAGGAGAGAGATAGGAAGAAAATAACTAACATAAAGAGCAAATGCGGTAGTTTAATTAATTATTTAATGCTGTTAAAAATAATAATAATAATAATAATAATTGCCAATGAAAAAATAGTAAATGCCCTATTCCCCTGCCCACCACTTTCCATTTCAAACACTCGCCTCTCTCATCGTCCAAATAAGCGTGAAACAAAAGGACATTGACATAATTAATAATAACCATGAATGTTATTAACAGAATTAGACTGCAGTATTAACATCGTTAAAATCCAATATGTTATTACCTGTCTAGTTTATTAAGGATTAATTATGCAAGTAATTACATTAGGCATTTGTACTATTTTATGTTATTAACGAGAGTTGAGATAATGTTTTATCAGTGGCTCTTTTTTTGTAGCCCAATTATCAATGTTTGTCTGTAACAACATGTTATTAACGGTTTTGTCAATGTTGTTAATAAAAAGTGGTTGGATTATTAATAAGTAATTTTGAACGATATTACTAATGTTTGATGTTACTAACGAAAGTTGTGATTATCGTCAATCGGTGACCTTGTAGTTATTAACATCTGTTGGTATTCGTGTGGACGATTCTATTTAACGTCATCATAATACGGTTGACAAGCAATATATTTTCATTGAAGAATGCAATGTTTCCGTTAACAATGATAACACAAAATGATGTTAAGAAATATTGATGACCATGAGTGTTATTAATCCAAATGGGTATGTCATAATTGTTAATAAAACTGAGTGGGTTATTAACATCTTAAATTAATAATGATTATTCGAAGTCTTCCTAACATGAACATGACAAGCTAATATACCTAATAACGTTGACAATATCAGAAAATATAGTACTAATCAATTTTTTTCGTACGTAACAAAAATTATTTTTGAAGATTAATAATGATTTTATGTTGTTAATGATACATCGCTTAAATGTTGATAAGATTACATTAGATTGTTAATTATGGGCCTAATACTTACATTACAACGTTGATAGCATTACAACAAATTGTTAAAAATGGGCCTGAAACCATTTACAAACTAAAAAAACATATGTTAAAAATCTTTTTATATCGTTGATAATTCATAGCAAAAAGGTTGATAACGTTACTTTGGTTTGATGACAATGGACCAATAAACGTTGATGATTTAAATATTGTACATTGTTTCATAGGTAACTTATTTAGTAAAAATTTGTTAACAATCTCTGTGGACATCCTTAATAATATCAAGCATAAACACTGCTAACTTTACATCAGAGCGTTTCACAATGGAAAAAAAAGTTATATTGTAAATTGATGATAATTAGTCAAAAAATAAAGAATAATTTAATTTCTAGTATTTGTCTATTTTACGAGAAGAGTATAGTCCGTGAAATTTCATTATAAACATGGAAATTTAATTGTTTAGTTAAATTGACTCTGCTGCGACGGTGATGATGCTCGCGTTGTGTGATGGGGAGAATAACAAGTCAGCCAATTAAAAATAAAAAAATCCTAACCTAATGGATCAATTAAAACCGCCGGCTGTACATGGAAATTGGGAAGGATTCAATTAAAAAATAATTAAAATACCATAATTATCCTTAATAACTACTAACTATCTTATAACCACCCTAGATTAATCTAATGGCCAGAATTTACTTAAGAAACTTCTTAAGCTTTGAGGCTTAAGGACCTGAACCTATCCCCCCAGCCTCTGGTATTTTTGCCCCGCCCTCAGTCGTCTCGCCCTGCCAATTGGATTGGTCCCCCGGATGGTTATATAAAGATCAATTTCGATGCTGCTGTTCGTGCCCCGGGTTGCTCGTCAGGTCTCGTCGCTCGAGGGCCAGATGGGCAAGTCTTTTTGGCCTTGGGTTTCCATCATCCTGGAGTTTCGAATCCTTATCTTGCTGAACTGTTGGCCGCAAGGGACGCCATTTCTCTTGTTATCTCTCGAAGTCTTCCCCTCGTCATCATAGAAGGAGATTCCGAAGAAGTTATGCGCCAACTAGATGGTAGATGCTGCGAAGATTCGGTGGGTGGGCCCTTGCTTCGTGATTGTTTTCAGTTAGTGAGGTCCTGTTCCTCGTGTATTCCTTTTAGTGCGGTTCCGAGGACTGCCAACTGGGCTGCCCATAGAGTGGCAAGACAAGCTCTGTTGCTGTCCCCTGTAGAGATAGCGTCCTTTGATTTTGTAGGGTGGTTGCATTGATGTATTTTCGGGGTTCGGGTAGAGGTTTTAACTATTGTACTTCGGTATAACTTGGAAAAAAAAAAAAAGAACAGCACAATCGACCTGAAAGAAAATCGCTCTCCTAAATGCTAATAATTAATGAGTTAGCTAATTAACAATGTTCCTTTTTCAAATTACTCTGCTTTATGGCCGTCTAAGAGTTGGGAAAGAGTCGAAAGAGAACCTTATAAACAACATTACCAACACTAACACCTGCCCTGTTATAGCTAGCTATCAAGTTCTGAGCAGCTCCAGTGATCCTCATTCTCTATCCATTACATGAACGATAGTGCTTATCAGAATGAAGCTGGACTTGTTTATAAGAAGAGAAGAGATATTGAACAGCATGAAAGAACTGCACTCTAATTGTTATACAGAAAACAGGACGGTAGAAATCAAGTGGATCTCTTCTGTCGAGAATCCGATAACCCGAAATCAAACGTCGACCTCCTCCTTGCAAATGCAGCAAGTCTGGCAATAAGCAAAACGCAGAAACTGAAGAAATTCAGCATTTGAAGTGACAGCAGTAGCTGTTTGATTGGAGAAGAGTGAAGATCGACCACATTACCACAAGGAGAAGAGAGGAAACTGGGAAGCTAACCTTTTCGTTTTTGAACCAGCCTCTGATACACTCGTCGTGAAATTTGTGCAGACATGACAAAGCGATCAGCTTATCCCCATTGCTGAACTCGGTTTGGCATATCACACACCTGTATGCAAAATTTACGTAAGAGAAACTGCTACAGAGTCTAGTGACTTGCTTATGGACTCTAGTTATGTCTATGATTGATGGTCGTTCACGTATAGAGTCACAGACTTTATATCATTATAGATCAACTATGGAGCAGTTCCAGAAACGAAAGAATGTCATACTTTATGTCATCGTCTTTCAACTTTCTTCCTCTCCTTGAAGATTTGTATTTGTAAGTTGGCAACCTGGACATTACTTCCTTCGACAGACCTTTGCTGACTTCACCGATCGACTCTTGTAACTGACTAATTTCCTACACAAAAAATGCAAGCCGAGTTAATTTGCAAAACTATTCCACAATAATAACAATTTAACTATTCTGTTGTGGGATGCATTCCAAATTCTTATTTGATACCCTCAGAAACATAACATGCTGAAAAACTTTACCTCGTACGTCATATTATCAATGTCAATGTTGTCCTGATTTGCAGCCTGCAATTAAAAAATACAAATGACTTGAATATAAGCTAGCACAATGCAAAGTAACTGTCGGACTAAGCTCATCGTTTGTCCGAAAACAACTGTCGGGCTAAGTTGTTGGAGAAGCCAAGACAAATGATATACCGAAGAAGAACTTGATCCATGGAGAGTTTTCTCTGGTCCTGCGGAGTTGCAAAAGAAGAGAACGATTCATAACCAGGTAATGTTATCAAGAGTATAAGAAGGCTCGGATGTTATTACTTGTTGCGGTTCTACGAGGTCTGCTCAACGACATTGTTCCCAATGAATTCTGCATCTCCAGCAACTGTAAAGCTAGAGCATCATCATCCGTTCCATCCCAAACACCATCTAGCTCCTGCAACTGTCTGGCGAGTGCTTCATCAACCGGACTGTCCCAATCACCCTCCTGCAATTGCCTAGCTAAAGCTTCATCAATTGGGAATTGAGGGTTTCCCTGAGATTCCAACAATCAGCAACAAAAGATCATACACAATATTCACACTTAAGGATGTGAATCCAGACCAGAATTCTGAGCAGAAAAGGAAACAATAAACAGTAAATTACATGTTGTGGGTGGCCAGCTTCACCAAAGAAATGATAGTGAAGTAACAGTTGCTCCTCATCCCAATAATCATCCACATAATTCGCCTGAGAACTGTTCAGCACTTGCCCATCCATCGCTCAGCAGATTGTTGGTAAAGTCAATCTTTGAACTTTGAAAAAGCCTTCAATTCTGCAAATCTTTCACAGTATTCAACAGCCGCGATCCAATCCAATCCAATCCAATCCAATGCGTTATATCGACGACTCAAAGATTGCTGCAAAGACCCGTAGTAACATAAATGTCATACCTCAATACATCATGGAAGCAAAACAAGAAACCGAATCTCAGAATTCAGGTCACAGCCATCCCAAATGAAAAACTGCTTCACTCATCTAGAAGCTAGTTCTATGTCTCCTCGTCGTCCTCGACAATTTCACTGATTCCTTGGTCAAGTCGCTTTCTTTTTTCCCTTTTCTAAATCTTTCATGGGTAGATTCGATTTGGGCAAAACATGTTTCCGAAAAGATGCAGATGGCAGGAATCAGGCATGAGCTAAAGCAAGAAACTTACTGCGTTTAGAGGAGAGATGAGAAAGGATTATGGTCTTCTGCTGCTGCCATTGCCGCTAGGAAGCTGAAGATCCAACATCCGCGAGCAGGAGAGTACGAATCGTCGTCCCCTCGACCGGCCTTGACTCAGTTGACTGTGTGCTCCGTAGACTAAGACTTGGAACCCTCTTCGGTTATGAATTGAGCGGTCTATGTCAGCGGTTAACAGAGATTGATGAAAGACTAGTCGGCGCCGGCGGGGGAAAACAGGGGAAAATGAAAAAGCCTCGCGGTTTGGGCTTCTCGGCTTTATAGCCGGCCAGCTCGGTTAACTGTCTTGGGCCAACCAGGTCCATGGCATTTTCAGGGAGAGCAATCATTTTGGGCACACATCCCAAAGAGAGGCATATATTTCATCTAACGAGCAAGATATAACTTATAAGGTTAATGTAATCGCATCGAAAAATTACTGATAGAAGTATCTTATACTAAAATAATGATCAATCATTTTATATCGGTGAAACCTCTTTTATGGTTAAATAGCTCTTATGATACGATTTTGCTACTAGTGACTAATAAAAGCCATATGGTTAAACCGTCGATATGGTACAATTTTGCTACAGGTTACTAATGAAAGCCGCAACAATGATTACCTAGATCACGTAGTTTGAACAAAACCAGAGAAGGTTAACGTGGGAATCTGGATAATAAGGATTCCTAGTTTTACTCTGAATAATTATCCATCCTGGTATCACCAATATAGTCGTCTCATTCGTGTTAATGATGCGAGACACATTGGGGAGTAAGTAGTTAAAGATTTAAAGCATTAAGTTTGTACACAACCAAGTTCCAAAGTCCATCACAAACTTCACCAGGCAACTAGCAGACATAAAAGGTTCAAGTTCTAAACTCCAACAGAAGCTTTCCACTCCAACACTAGCAGAGTTAGGTCATGGCATACAAAAGGCAGCAGGTGAAATTAGTCTCCTCCAACCTGCCTCTTCCACGAGTCCTCCACAATAAGCTCGTCGACTCCCCAGTCTTCATAGCTGGATGAAGACGAAGAAGACATCTGGGGTTAATTATACTGTACAATCAAAATGAAACAGAAGTTAAATGCATTTTGGAGTCTAAGCAAATCCAAGAATCTTGCCTTCCATCAGGCAGGTAACGGCGGATTGTGAATGGTATTTTCCTCTGCCTAAGCTCCTTCATAGCAATCTTCAAAACCAACATCCCAAAAACCAGACTTTCAAAATTAGGAAGCCACATTGCAGCATGATATCAATGGTAGGAGAGAAAGGAGTGTTTAGAAGCTCTCACCTCCAGTGGATCAGTCTCACCCTCCAGCTCGACCATAACTGGAGCATTCATGCTGCAAAAAGTGCCGCAAAGAACCCATTTCTTCAATAGATCAGCCAAACCACCAGCATCCACAAATCCAGACACGTCCAACCGAAATGCATACACGAGGGAAAGGGAAGTTCACCTGATCTGCAGTGCTCGAGTCCCCAAGATCCTGGCACGTTCGTATTTAGTCATGAACTTTGATGTTTTCCGAGGTCTCTCCACAGGCTCCTGGTCTTCTCTGTCCTCCGTCTCCATAGGTTCTCCAGTCACATCTTCATTGTTTTCATTCTCAAGATCCACCTCTGCACCTTCCTGTCAAAAGCAGACATTTATTCCACCAACAATGTCAGCAACACGCAGACGCTACATTTAACAGAGGGAAAAGAGAATCAAAACCAAAAGAACTATTTGCTTACATCAATCTCCGGCTCCGCAGGCTCATCTTCATACCTAAAGCAGCAAAATAACACAAATATTTCAGAATCAGAAGACCATAAAACATGCTCCGCTTGTTTCCATCGTTAGAACGCAATCTATGACCAGGAATCCCACATCAAAATTTTCGAAATGGTTGCAAAAGCGAAAACGAACTGGCGTCCACAGCTCGAGTTCCAGAAAGAATTTGTTTCTGAAAATTACAAATTTCTAAACCCACCCGAATTGGTAGCAACCCATTTCAAGAAATTCAACAACACCCAACATTCGACAAAGCAATCAAGCTCTAAGTAAGAGAAAAGGGGAAAGACGAGGAACCAATTCTCGGGAAGTCATAGTTCGTTCCGAAGGACGCCTGATCGACTACCGGGGAAAGTAACGAAGGAAAAACATAGAATGAACAGAGCACAAACCCTATATCGGCATCGTTGTAATCATCGTCCGCCATTGTTGATTGATTAGGAAGGACTGCTCAAGAAACCCTAGACCGCCTTCTGATCTTTCTCCGCTCTACTCCCCTGAAGCAGCAAGTACACTGAAATATCGCACGAATCCGGGAAAACGAAAACCCTCGAGGAAATAAGGGAACGTTACCGCCTTTTGTGGTCCATGCCGAGTCTCTGCGGCCCATTAACTCCGAGTCAAAGCCCTTCGCAAAATGGACTAATGGCCCAATTTTTCTGTTGATAATTCGTCACTTCTGGCCCTCACAAAGTTCTTTGTCGCAACTTACAACCGTATTTTAAGAGAATTACTAATCGTCGCCTTAAAAATTTGAATTTATCGCCCTAACCTCATGCCAAATTACTCTACTACCCCTAACTTCTTCTTTAGCGCCCTAACCTAATCGTCGCACCTCGGCAAATTTGCCGATCAAGTACGATTGAGGAGGAATGATGATGAAGAAGAAGAAGAATTAAGCGCCGTCCAATGCAAATCCATTGCCGTCCAGCTCTCGACCAGTGGCGTGGCGGGTTCCCTGCTCGCTTCCACCATTCACTAGGCGTATTCCCTACCTGACTGTCCTGCTCGTCAGACGGGTGGAAATCCCGTTGCCGGCAGTATCGGGACAGGTCGCATACCCATCTTGCCACCGTCGGCGACGGGATATCAACCCGCCCGACGAACAGCACCCTGAAAAAAAAAACAGCTCAGGAGGATTCCGGCCTTCTTCCTCCTTCCTCCTCAACGGCGACGAACATCCTCTGCAGCAGCAGAGGTTGGCGGCGATGGGAGGATCAGAATTCCGAACCGTTTGCGAGCATGTGGGCGTCTGCGGCTGTGGGCGACAGTGACATTGGGCGGGGTAAAACCAGAGATGGCGGCGGCAACAGTTGGTGGGGCAGAACCAGTGGTGGCGGCGGCGTGAGCATCTACATCTTCTTCGTCCTCAGAGGTGGCCGGCGGGGGCGGATTAGGGCGAAGTTGGTTAGGGATTAGGATTAAATTGGGGGCAAAATAGTCTCTTTAGACGAGTTTAGGGCGAAAAAAATAAAAAACTAGGGCGTTAAATAGAAATTCAGTATTTGAATTAGCAACCCGAAAATATAATCACAACAATCATAATATGATATATTAGCCAGCCATTAATTTTTTCGTTAACTTATGCTGAGGTGGTGTGCTAAGTGTTGAGTTGGAATGCACTTCTGATGTGGAAACATATTATTTTTTAAAAAAATTAAAAGGGTACTGACTACTGACTAGTTATGACAAATAATTTGTATTTCGATAGTTGTGCCTATAATTTCCCGCTGCTTAATGGTTGTGACTAATATATTGTATTTATCCTTTTAATTTTGATAAATGATTACCATAATAGTTATCAAACTAATTAAAATAAAATTATATTAATAATAGATTATAAAATTTTAATTAAATCATTCAAATTAATATAGTAACTAAATTAATCAAACTAAATTTTAATCTATTTAGCTAATTGGTTAATCATATTAACCAATATAACATAACATTATCATTACATGGGAAACAATTTCTCTTAACGATCAATCCATAATACATATAATGAGTAAAACATAACAATCAACTCAAAGCTAACTTCTATCATAAACAAATACATGTAAATAATATAATTATCTTACAATAATTAGAAGAGTCACCTAACAAAATATATAGTAAAAGTGTGTGGTAATGAATTGAGTGTGTCCGTGTGAATTATCTTAGTCTCTTATAAGTTATTAGAGGTTGAAAATTTCCTTCCATTTTAGATTTTTATAGTGTATGATCATTATTTAAATTAGGAGCTCTTGTCTACATTTTACAAGAACATTTTACAAGAACAAAAATAGTATATGAACAATCATGAACTTTAATTGTTTTATGGATCCTAAAAGAAGGAACACTTGACTCTTTAGTGGTTATGCAAAGTATTATCTATGTTTTATATAATGTATTAGATATATGACTAATTTTATAATTAGTTTTATTGGTTAGCAAAACCAAACCAACTAAACAAACTAGAAATTTTAACCAAACCAAATCATCAGAACACTACCGATTAAAATGGTCACCACCACGATAATCAATTCGTTTGAACACCCTAAACACCTATGGGCTATGACCCTATTTCAGCTTCTGAAGATATAAACATGCTTAACTCTTTTCTCATTTGTTATTGTGACAATAGAATTGGCAACACAACAAAAAATAGTTTAAACATGTGAAATTACATTTTCTTGTTGTTTAAAAAAAATGTTATGGTGGGACACTATTCGTTGGAATAATTTCCGTAAATGTGGGGTTTAAGATTCGACAAAGCAAAGTGATCATTTTATATTTTTATTACGTTTGAAGTTGAATGACTAGTTTGTTACATTTTCCATAGTTGAGTGACCATTTATGTAATACCCTTACAAACAAACTAGCACTTAAAAACATTGTGTTTTCATAAGTTTATAAAGAACGATAAAAAGGAAAATGGATAGCACATATAATATAAGCGTGTGCCTCTAATTGTTGTGTGAAGAAGTTTCGAGAAGCTGATTGTAATTTTTGATTAGTTATAGGACTATTCTGCAACATTAGTTACTTTATGTACGGTTTAGAATATTTTGGAATTCATATCAAATTGGTAGAGGTGTCAATCTGATTGCGAGTAAGACGAATTTTGGGTTCACGCGGTTTCGGATTTATCGGATTGCGGGTCATAGGGTCATGGGATACTCGGATTACGGATCGGCCTGGTCGGGTTGCGGGATTTACGTGCCAGAGCCCAAAGCATTGAGTTAATTACTTCTTAACTTGCACATTTTATTAAACTAATTTAAATCATTTTCAGAATTTTTAGTCAATTTCTTTCTACATCGTATAAGTACTTATAAATGTTAAAGATACTTGTTAATCAATTTGTACGACTTGTAAAATTGTCATGTAATTAATTGTGATTGATAAAGTGCACTAATTAATGGTTATGGTGATTCATACATTTTAAAATTTTCATCCAATAATCCTAATACAACCACAAATTAAGGAGTATCATAAAAACATATATGTAAAAAATCACAATGAAAATTGAGAATAACTAACTATGTCTACCACAAATACTCAAGTGATGAAACTAAGTGGTGTCGAGTACAACTTCAAGAGATTTGCTCAAAATTTGCAAGCAAAATCATTTAACTTATTAGAACTTTGAGTTCCCAAATTTTACATCTAGCATCATCACCCAACATGATTTCAATTCCTCTGCAAAAAGGAAAACTGACGAAAAATCATCACCCAAATTTAGAAAGTTATATTGTAGTTCTTGCATCCTCGAGGGGTAATTTGACAGGAAGCAGGTTGAGATTGTAAAACAATACAAAAAAAATATCTTCACAGAACTATAGGAAAGAGTAGGCGCCTAGCGAGACAAAATATGCAAAGTTAAAGAAGAACAACAAACTACAAATACAAAGCACTAAAATTAAGAGTTCAAGTCAAAAGGATGGGTCGGATAATAAGACACTCTGTAGCATACATAAACTATAGGAAATTAACCCAACTTATCCAAGCAGCAAAACATCAACAATTATTGAGATATCGTTCATCTGTCGATTTGTCCTTATATATTAGTGTGAATTTTCACTAAAAAATTGGATTAAGTGGTGTAATGTGATATGTTATTAATAATTATGCTAAATGAGATTTGATATACTGGTATAAATGTATCAATATGATGGCTTCTCACATGTATTCGAGTTAAAACGGTCAGATCATTGACCTTCAACCCACTTACTAAACCAGGTCAAAGAGCTAAACCGGGTAAACAATATTGATAATTCAGAATAACACCACCCCTCAGTTATTTGTTATAACACGTTTTCGCATTATTATCAAATAACACGAGCTCAAATACAGATGGCAAACATATTATTTCGGGTCAATAATTCATAACGAGGTATTTAATCGAAATAACTCATTTAAATAATCTCGCAGATTTTTAATTTTGGAAGCATATAAGTTAGGTTTATGTCAATGCCACTAGGGGTGGCAGTTCGGTTATTTCAGTTATAACCGGTAACCGATCGGCCGGTGATCAGTTAACCAAAATAATCACTCCCCCTACCGAAAACCGCCCGAAATAGGTTTCGATTTCTCGGTTATCTCGATTATCGGTTAACCAAACCACTTTTAAGACCAAAGACCATTTCGTCCAGCCTCCGATAACCGACAGAAGTTCGGTTACTTCGATTACCGGTTAGTGACCGGTTAACCGATAACCGAACTGCCACCCCTAAATGCCAGTCAACTTGAGCATACAAAATTTGTCCATACTCGGATAGTGTTGGGTTGTCACTGTACTGGAAACGCACTTCTCTATAAGTAAAGCCTGGAATCTTGAACGTGTCCTTGGAGACCAAGCAGGAGTCCACCATTAATAGCCCATTTCAAAGCTTCCTGACAAAACAATGGTCTATCTTCTTCTCCTGCTCCCACTCTCCATCACTATCCTCGCCATCATCATCATTTCCCGAACCTTCACCGCCTCCGCAACTTCCAGAAAGCCGCCGCTTCCCCCCGGTCCAAAGCCATGGCCCGTCGTCGGCAACCTCCCTCACCTCGGGAAACAAGCTCACACCTCCCTTCAAACCTTCTCCAACCTCTACGGCCCTCTAATCTCCCTCCGCCTCGGCTCGCAGCTCCTCGTCGTCGCCTCCTCCCCCGCGGCCGCCGCCGAAATCTTGAGAACCCACGACCGCCTCCTCTCCGCCAGGCACGTGCCCAGGGTGGTTCCTTACGAAATCGCAGAGCTCGACCGCAAGGCAATCATTTGGGCGTCCGACTGCAACGACCACTGGAAGGCCTTCCGCGCCATGTTCAGGAACCAGATCTTCTCGACCAAGGCGATTGAATCTCAAGCCGCCGTCAGGGAGAGGAAGGTCTCCGAGATGGTTGACTTTCTCGGTGGGAAATTAGGGGAATCGGTTAGAATCGGCGAAGTAGTGTTTGCCGCTATGTTCGATTCGCTGTCGAATCTCATCTTCTCTCGAGATTGCATCGGGTTCGTGAGAAACGAGACGGCGAATCGATTGAGATCCATAATTTGGAGATTGATGCAATTAGGGGCTTCCCCTAATCTCTCCGATTTCTTCCCAGCTCTGAAGAAATTGGATGTTCAGGGGTTGAGACGCGACTCATATCGTCGTACCAAGCAACTCCACTCCGTTTGGGCGCCATACGTTAAGGAGAGGAGAGCAAAACGGCAGAAGCAAGAGCGATCTGAAGCTGCAGATTTCTTGGATATATTCTTGGAAAATGGACTCGACGATGACCAGATTGACTGGTTGAATCTCGTAAGTTCAAACCCAAAAAGAATCCCCATCATTCGATTTCAGATCTATGTAAATTTTAATTTTCTGGGTTCCCACAAAGATATTAGCTTGAGCTATTCGGCTGGTTTTCCTGCAGGAATTGTTCGTCGCCGGAACGGACACCAACACGGCCACAATAGAATGGGCGATGACAGAGCTGATTCGAAACAGGGGAGCGATGAACAAGCTGCGGGAGGAGCTGAAGAGGGAACTATCGCCACTGGAACCGGGGAAGATGAGCGAATCCGCGGTGGCTCGGCTTCCGTACTTGAATGCAATCTTGAAGGAGACCCTGAGGCTACACCCGCCGGCGCCTCTGCTGCTGCCGCACCGAGCGCCGGAGACTTGCGAGGTAATGAATTACACGGTCCCAGAGGGGGCTCAGATCGCGGTCAACGTGTGGGCGATAGCGAGGGATCCCACGGTGTGGGAGGACGAACCGACGTCGTTTAAGCCGGAGAGGTTTATCGAGTCGAAGGTGGATTTCAGAGGGCAGGATTTCGAGCTGCTGCCGTTTAGCGCCGGGAGGAGGATGTGCCCTGGAATGCCGTTGGCCGTAAGGCAGATTCCGCTGGTCGTGGCTACTTTGGTTCGGAGCTTCGATTGGTGTCTACCCGACGGAGAAGATCCGGCGGAGTTGGATATGAGCGAGAAGTTTGGGATCACGTTGCAGAAGGAACGACCTCTGCTTCTTGTTCCGAGCCGGAGTTCGTTATGAGGCTTTTGATGTTGTATCCCGAAGCTCTCGTATTCCTTCTTCTCCGCTGCTTCTGTGCATTCTTCATCCTTCTTAGTTGCTCCTCCCTCTTTTACTCTTCTTCTCAGCTACTACTTGTTCATTTTTATCTCTTCTTGTCTCATCACGATGACAACCATCTACCCTGATTCCTCTGCCTCTGTGATACGAGTTGAAATCGTATGAGTGAATGAATCCCTTTTCTTGGCGGGATTGAACCAGGTTTCTCCTTTCTTGACGAGAATGGTCAGGGGTTTCTTGTTTTCTGAAATTGCCACCTTCTTCATTTATTCGTAGGTATAAATACAAATGAACAATAACTAATTTCCTAACAAACAGCCACTACTACTGCTACACCTATCTACACGTTCCACTTATGGTGGAAGTGATTAATACCTAACAACCTTTAATCCCACTTTAACAAAGACTCCACAACTGACTCAACAAACATAATATGAATCCTGATATGCTGCAATTCACTAATTACGGATCAAGTGCACATTGGGCTGGTGGCTCGGCTGGACGGCGAGGCCCACTGAATTGTGGCCCATCACTCTGCCACCACCGGCGCATCTCATTCCTCTGTTTCTTGCCTTCTTCAATTCGCACGGCGGCCTCCTCATATTGCGGTATTATTTTTTAGCAGCAACTAACAGAACCATCTAATCTAATATTTGATTAAATAAACCAAATTAGACACAAACCTATCTCACGACATAAGGAATCCCAAGATTAACAACCTCAAATAATACACAAGGCCTAAGTCCAACGACGATTTATGATCCAACATTATCCTCCCTAACCAGTAACCACGAAGAAGGCGATTGATCTAGTGGTAATAGCATTAGCGTTAAACCTGAAAATTCCAAGAGTCCATTCCTTTAAGTAGAATTTAAAGGATGTGTGCCTCCTTACTGTGACATAACAGAGCTTGAAACCCTAACCCTAACTCAGACACCAATTCCACCAATAGCAGCTCTTCCATTGACCATTGCAGAGGAAACCAAAATCGAGGTGAAGCTCACAAACCTCAAGGTTCACGACCAGAAACAAGAAGCGATCCTATTTGTAAATATAAAAGGAACGATTACACGGCAGGAGCTCCTAGAGCAAGAGAGGTGGATGTTGTGGAAATAAAAAAAAAAACATGAATACCTTTTTTTTGTTATTTTATAACTTTTTTAATAACCAAAATGGCTGCAAGGTAGGGGTGCAAAGATTTGGTCCATACCTGACAACCCTGGTCCAAACCAATATTTGGATTGCACCATATCGACTAGAGTCAATGCGTCATGATCCTTGGTTCCATGAATTTTATAGATATGTAAGAAAAATGAACCGAATTAACATTGTGACCGAACCAAATAGTACGGAATGAAATGATGGTCCGACCCTTAGCACTAATATGTTTTTTTATTATTGGACCACGATTCTCATGAGTTTTTACCACTGCTGCAATGAATGTGATGGGGTTTTTATCTAATTTGATTTTCCTTACTTTTAAAGTAAACCCTTTTGATCTTTATTAACTTTTTAATTGACACATCAACGATTTAACAGACAAACTTTATTGTTAATTGTCATATAGGACATAGTTAATGGAAGTAGATGGCTAATGGCTAATAGCCAATGATGAAACATTGGTCGAAAGTGGATAACTACTCAGAAGGGTATGTTTTTCTAGTGACAAACAAAGAAAACTTAATAAATGTGGTGACCAAACATACAATTGACCCAAAACGAAAACGAAAATGAATTGAATGACACACTCGAGCCCCTCCTTCCTTCCCCTGTTCTGCTACCCTTCAAATGCCGAAAAGCCCCTCCAAGACAATTATGCTTTTTGGGATCGGGTTATACAAATTGCAGGATCCTGTAACGGCCTGATTTGCATAAGGGACGGCAATCACGATCTGATTCTTTGGGATCCGGCCACCTCCGAGACCAAGCTCGTCCCGCCTTCCCCTTTCCGTCGCAACTGGTGTCTTGAAACTGTCGGGTTTGGTTTCGATCCAGAAATAGAGGACTACAAAATCATCAGAGGTTTACTGTTTAAGGAGTGATTGTTGGACGAATGTAGCAGATGATGATGATAATGGCTATAAATTTACATGCGCGGATCCTGTTGCCAGAGGCCGCAATGTAACAAGGGAAGTTGTATTGGTGGCACTGGAAGCGGAACCCGGTGGGCGGGGAAACGACGGGTGTAGAGTAGGGGTAGGCGGTAGCAGTTCGGCTATTTTGGTTATAACGGGTAATCGATCGGCCGGTTATTGGTTAACCGAAATAATCATTCCCTCTACCGAAAACCGCCTGAAATAAGTTTCGATTTCTCAGTTATCTCGGTTATCGGTTAACCGAACCATTTTTAAGACCAAAAACCATTTCGTTCAGCCTCCGATAACCGACCGAAGTCGGTTACTTCAGTTACCGGTTAGCGAATAACCGACCGGTTAACCGATAACCGAACTGCCACCCTTTAGTGTAGAGTTCGAGTCATTTGCCATTAGCAGCCACGAGTTCCAGACAGTGGATTTGCGTTTGCCTTTTGAGATTGGTGTATGTAAACTTTTGTAAAAAGAAAGTGAATTGGAGAGGAAAGCTCAGTTGTGTACTGAGTCTCCAGTAGCTTTTATAGCTACGAAATTGATTAACAAACATTGTCCACGTGTCCTTACATGATAGGATATTAATTTAAACAAACAGTGTAAATTAACGGCTAACTAAATAAATAGAACGCTGCTGTTTTTCACTTCAACGAGACTCCTCCTTCTTCTTCATCCAAAACGTTGTCGTTCCTCAGTCCTCAGTCCATTAGGATTCCATGCTCTGCAACTCAACTCTGCTGCAACTCAACTCTGTCACCCCCCTTCAAGTTGGTGGTGCTTCTGCAATCCCCAACTTGCCAAGCAAATCTTTCAATCTGAAACGATCCAGACCCTTTGTAAAGATGTCTGCCAATTGATCATCTGTATTCACATGCTTCAATTTGATCAATCCAGTTTTGATTCTTTCCCTTGTAACATGCATATCGATTTCGATATGCTTGGTTCTCTTGTGAAAAACAAGATTCTCTGCTATATGTATAGCAGACCTGTTATCACAAAACACAGAAATTGGCAAAGGCACTTCCACTGTCAACTCAGAGATCAACCTCTTCAACCACTCCACTTCACATACCAGGTGTGCAAGCGTCCTGTACTCTGCTTCAGATGATGATCTTGACATTGTGGTTTGCTTCTTAGTTTTCCAGGTGAGGAGTGATGAACCAAAGAAAGTGCAGTACCCTGTGATTGAATGACGTGTGTCTGGGCAGCTTGCCCAGTCTGAATCACTGAATCCTGTCAATTTAGCTTATGCTCCATGCTTAAACATAATGCCTTGATCTGGTGCTATTTTGAGATACCTTAGAACCCTGTAAGCTGCCTGCATGTGTTCATTACAGGGGGTTCTTCTGATACTGGCACAATTGTTGGACAACAAACACTATGTCTGGCCTGGTTATGGTGAGGTAATGAAGCCTCCCTACCAATCTCCTGTAGGTTTCCCCATCTTTCATTGGTGTTCCTTTAGCTTCTAGGTAACCTGTGTCTTTCAACAAATCAACACAATATTTCCTCTGACAAATGCTCAAACCTTCCTGATTTCTATTCACTTCCAGACCAAGAAAGTACTTCAGTGGTCCAAGCAGTTTTAACTTGAATTCCTTGCTCAAAGCACCTTTGATTTGATCAAGGTCCTTCTGTGCATCACTTCCAATGGTTATGTCATCTACATAAACTAGGAGGACTGCAATTCTTCCATGTGTCCATTTGGTGAACAAGGAGTAGTCAGATGCTGACTGTGAGAAACCCAGCTTCAACAAGAAGCTGGTTAGCTTAGCAAACCACTGTCTTGAGGCCTGTTTTAGTCCATAAAGAGACTTTTTAAGCCTGTAAGTCATCTTCTGATTTTCTACTGACTCTACCTTTAATCCCAAAGGTATTTTCATGTAAACAACCTCTTCCAGATCACCATGTAAGAAGGCATTTGACACATCCAATTGCTCCATCTTCCAGTTCTTCATATTTGCCACTGCTAGAAAGGTCTTGACTGTATTTATCTTAGCAACTGGTGAGTATGTGTCAAGGAAGTCTATGCCGTACACTTGTGTGTAGCCTTTGGCTACTAACCTTGCCTTTTCCCTTTCCAAAGATCCATCTGGCTTGAACTTGTATTTGAACACCCACTTGTTCCCTATTTCCTTCACATTTGGTGGTAAAGGTACCACATCCCATATCTGATTCTCATCCAGGGCATACAATTCTGAATTTATTGCTCTATTCCATGCTTCTGATCTGATTGCTTCATAGTAGGACTTAGGCTCCTCATGATTCACAACACTCAAGGCAAACATCCTGTCTGCAGGACTCAAACCATCTACATTTAAACAAATTGAATGTTTGCTGCAAATATTGGCCTTACCATATGGTCCAAAGGAAATGGAGGGATCCAAATGGTAATCACTGTACTTGTTAGGCAGTTTAACAGCTCTCTTTGATTTTCCTTTGTCCTGCAGAAACTCAGTGTCATGATCAACATCAGCTTGTTGGAGTAGTTCCTGATCATCAGATTCAAAGTAGACATAGTCATCATGAACCTCTAGTGGTGAGTTGGCTGGTGATCTGGCACCAGATTGCTCATGGATGCTCAGGCTGCCCCGTGGATGAATGAAACTGAGGAGAGAGTGGTGGGGAAGAAAGAGGAACATGTAGAGCAGGAGTTGGAATAGGATATGGATTTGGTGAGAACAAGAAGTTGGGAGAAGAAGGAGAAGGGGACTGATCAGTGGAATGGAAAGGAAAGATGGTTTCATAGAAAACTACATCTCTAGAGATATAGGTTTGTCTGGTGTGAATGTCAAGAACTTTGTAACCTTTCACTCCAGCAGGGAAACCCAGAAACACACACTGTCTTGCTCTGGGAGCAAATTTTGTCCTCCCATGAGAAAGAGTGTTGGCATAACACAGGCTGCCAAATACTTTGAGGTGTTTCAAAACAGGTGGTTCAGTGTAGAGGACCTCATAGGGGGATTTGTTTTGCAAAACGGGGGTAGGAAGTCTGTTAATGAGATAAACAACATGTAACACACAATCACTCCAGTATTCTAGAGGTAGACCAGACTGGAATTTCAGTGACCTAGCCACATTAAGGATGTGTTGGTGTTTCCTTTCCACTCTCCCATTTTGTTATGGGGTTTCAACACAGGAAACCTGGTGTTCAATTCCTTCAGTAGCAAGGTATTCACATATTTCAAATTCTTTGTCTTGATCACTTCTGATGATCTTAACAGTGGTATTGTATTGATTCTTAACTAAGTTGCAGAAGCATTGAATGAGCCCTCTGACCTCACTCTTGTGTCTCATCAAATAAACCCATACACTTCGAGAATAGTCATCCACAACAGTCAAGAAATAACAATAACCATCATATGAAACAACTGAAAGAGGTCCCCAAATATCCATGTGCAATAAATGAAACTTCTCAAGTGCTGTGTTGGTGCTAATGGGAAATGGAAGTTTTTTCT